GCTTGCATGCATGACTGATAAGTTGAACTTTTGTCTAGTTCGCTTCGATAATACTATTTCATTTCTGAAGGTCACGAATTTGTGATCTACTCTACCTAACGAGTGACCGCAGATAGAACTCAAACTTGACGGTCATGAGACCTAAAAACGGTGACACTGCAAAAATAGCGAATACAGCTGATCACTTTAAGATAAAGAGTGCAACAATCTTTGTCCCCCATATCGCGACAACAGCTGTACTATCCCGGGCGATATAGGCTTAACTCAAGAATTCAGTTTATGACCAATCTTTTACCTCCTCTCCTGGTACTCGGCAGCTGTTGAAAAGCCGTTCGTACTGCATTGTACAAAATGGCACTTTTGTACGTGGGGAGACAGAGAACTAAAAGACACATTAGTATGCAGTATCTGATCATAAACACGAAGCATCCACTTACAGGTGTCACTTCCTGTCTTTCTACTTGCCGACGGAACAGTAAAGCTGTGAAGGTGACATTTGCGGCGCGAGCAGCTTGATTGTGAGTTGGATGTTCATTAAGGGTGTCCTATAAACTTTTATATGCAATGAAGGTGTTGAGACAACGATATAGCGTGGGAACTTACAAAGCCATAGTAGTTGCTGTTGATCATTATGGGACTTCTCTGACGCATGTAGACAAATTCCTCCCACCAGTCGGTAACCTAAAGGGTAAGGTAAAATAGTTCGGTAACAGAAGAGTATGAAGTTCTTACATAGTTGGTGCTAAGCCATGACTTAAGCTGAAGATATCGCTGCAGTCTGCGACCGAGTCCTTTGCGGAAAACTTCTGATAAGTGCTCAAGATCTTCAAACTCCTCATCGTTCAGAATCGGTCTCATTGACAGTAGGTGCTAAATTGACAGCATAGCCCATTCAATATCAAATTCGTTTATTGCGAAATATCTACCTTTCCTATGGTATCGTTGAGAGAAGGAAGAGGTAGATGAGGTAAAGCTCCTTGATACGAATGCATCATAGGTCCAGATTTCGACATAAGTTTCAACACACCCTAAATAGAATTACTTGCTAAAATCACGAGGAAGTAAGAAGTAAGGATTCCTCTAAGCTCTAAAATGAAAAAAAAACCCTTTTCTCATCTTGAAAAGATTTTTCCAAAAATTGATCACAACTTCTTCTCCGAGTGCATGGACTTATGAAAAACTAATTATATCAATGCTTTACTTACCAGCCATAACTTCGTAGGAGTAGAGATT